TTTCTTAAAAATCTATTAAATTATTACATTTGCTTTTTGCATAGAACTAAGCTAATTGAACCCAAAGTAAATCCTGAAATATATCTCAATTATAAAAATGAGCTAGTAAAAAAAAAGAATATTTTAGCTACATGAACGATTAGAAGATTTACTTAATACTGAATTTAAATTATTTAATAAAATTTTCATACTTTTTCGAATTTTTATGTATAAGCGAACTACCTTTTTCTATTTGATCCATAGCAATCCGAAAGTTTTAAACAGTGTTTTAGAACTTGAATAATGCATTAGTAAAAAAAAAATCTCTAGTTATATTAACAACAGGGGGCATTATCCTTTACAGAAAAAAGACTTTTCATGCAACAAATATTATAGCTCGTGATATTGCAACCAATCATGGTCAATTTGATGATCTGGATCGACAACCAATCAAAACGAATTTCAGTCATGCTCCCCGCCGGGATATGAAAATCAATTATACGTATGTATAAATTTGTGTGGCCTTATAAAAAAATAATAAATTTCAAATCGTATCTCCTCAAAATTTTCCATATTAACTTAACTAGAAATCTTAGCTGATTAATCATTGGACTTTAATGAATAAAATGGATCGTTTTTTAAGAAACTACAAAAAAATTACTAATAAACCTAACGAAAATCTGCCAAAATTTCAAAATTTCAATATAAATCGTCGTATATGTTACACAAAAAGCGGCATTAATATGAGATACGCATACATATATTTGATCTACATAGTACCGTTAGGGTTGTGCATCTACGTATTTAAAATTCGCGAAGAATTATCATAATACATACGTTAAGTAAAATCAAAAATAGTGATTGTACCCGGGTAAAGATTTTTGCTTGAATAACATAGTAATTCATCCGGGTCAATCCGGGTATTTAATAATACCCGGGTAGTGATTTTCTCAACGGTTACAAACTACGTATAATCTTTAATAATAGATACCAAATGTAGTTTTGATTTACTTAATGTACAGAACACCCATCGAAGCATGCATGTGATAAGATTTTTAATGATTATTATGAGCCTCTTTTACAGCGAATTGTGCCACTAATGAGTCGCAATATCTCTTTCAAAAGATGTGACCTCTGCAGATTATAATGTCATGTGAAAAACGGAGATTCTGTAGATTTTAGTGACTGTAAGACTTTACAGATTTAAAATAAATATGGATTTAAATGATAGAAAATATAATATATAAACAATCTAGGATTTCAGAGATTTTCCTCGGTAGTCATCCAAAAATCATGGCAAAGTACTATAATTCATAGTGATAGTTAAAGAATTAGATTTACAGAATTTTATTTTTAATTTGCACATTTAGTTCATTTCAAGTTTTTACGTTTTTAGAGAGAGCATTTATTGTCGCGGATGATCGTGAAATTGGATAATGCTGAAATTTAGAGTCCCCATAATACCCAATAAAATACATATATATTCTTTTATTAACGTTAATAACAACTCTAACCCTAAACATACCCTAAAAAAAGCTACAAAAAAGGCCCTAAAATATTTAAATCCACAATCATCCGTGACATCTATTAAGAATAGTTTTATGTACTCTATATTATCGCGTTGCAAAATGATAAATTTTTGATCAAATTTTGTAAAATCGACTATTTTAGAGTAAATATATATAAGAATAAATGATTTATAAAAAAATATTTTAAAAGGAATATTATTATAGAGCATAGTAGCGCTACCCATATCGATATGTAAACATAAGATTCAGTGTAACCTAGGGTTAGGACATTAGGTTAGTGTTAGGGCAATAGCGAAAACAGGTCTTATACCAAAATTTAGTAAGAAATTTTTTTTAATTAGGACACCAAAAGCAGTTACTAATCGTTTTTTAACATCTGGTCTTTTTTTTTTTTTTTTTGATTACCCTAGCACCACGGTATTATAGCGCTATAAATTAAACCCTACTTTAAATATTTGAATAAGAAATCACTTCATAATCTTGCAACTCAGTCGAATTTACGTGAGCTAAGAAATACAAATTAGTTCAAAATACAACATTTTGCAAACCGCGATAATAGATAAAAAAATTTTCGAATAAATGAATAAAATGCAAATAGAATCTTAATCAGATAACGCTTGAAACCCATTTAAAAATTAAAGCAAAAAGATCATGCTCAAAATTTCTATATATTTTATATATATATATATATATTTATTTATATATATATATATTTACAAGAAATAATATACTTTTTTTTTTATTAAAATATTGACCGATTCTCATGTTGCGAAAAATCTATGATGAATATTATAATAAAGGAACAAATGATATTTACTGTTTAAAAAAAAAAAAAAAGAAACATGATTATGGGAATTTTTAAATAATAACTTAGGATTTAGTTGATTTAGTTATAGCTTGATTAATATATGAATCAACATCTTCATACTTATTTCTATTATAATGAATGAAAACACCTTCATCATAATATTTTTTCACAATTTCATCTAATCTTTCATTCGTAGAAATTGATTGACTCCAATAAAGACAAATTTGTTTTCCTAATTGCTTTCTACTTTCTAAAAATCTTCCAATTAATTCACCAGAAAATTTCCATCCTCTCGCAATCTTTAATAAATCCAATCGAGCAGGTTGAATACGAGTAATTTCTTTTAAAAGATCATCAAAGTCCATTTGATCTTGCATGAAATAATATTCAGTTGATGGATGAAGATAAAGGAACGAAAGATTTGGACAAGAATATAATAATTGAGAAAGTTCTTTAACATTTTGATCCATTATTGGGCCTTCAAATTTAACAAGATTTTGACATGCTTGTGAAATTGAAGTAAGAAGTAATTTAGAATTTTCAGGATCAGAAATTCTACTACTACGAATGGTTAATTCTTGTAATCTTGGAGAATTTTGAATGAATTTTGAAAATATTTCTAAATTAGCATTTGTAAATAAACTCGAAATAAATAATTTCTTGAGTTTTAACATTGGTATTGATAATAAAGGTTCCCAGATTTCATTCATAATCTCACGTTTTCCAAAACCTTGTAAACTTAGTTCTTCCAAATTTCCTAAATTAGCAAGATGAACTAATGGAAAATACATGTACTTGATTTTTAAAAGAGATATTGATCTTGAATTGCTTAAAGCAATAAAAACGGCATCACGACTGGCGGAATCAGTAGGGCTTGTATAAGAATGACCGATAGTGATTTCACGTAAATTTTTTTGAGCTTTAATTAAAGTTGCCAAGTGTTCAGTATCTTGATAAGGATCAATTATTAAACGTTGAATTCCTCTACTTGTACGAGAGATTTCGGAAAAGAAGGTTGGAATAACTTTTAACGCGCCATGACAAATCAATTCTCTCAAATCAGCGAGACGAGCCTTTGATTCAGGCATAGTATTCAGAATGTCTAAAAGGATTTCAAGGACATCGTTACCATATTTTGCTTCGATGCTATGTACGAAAGGGGTTTTCTGAAGAAAGTATTGCAATAATTCTTTAGCAACGACAGTGATCTGTGGACAGACTACACTATGAAATTCTTTAGGAGAACTTGAGTCATAAATCCAAGATTTAATTGACAATTTCAAAGCATCCAGATTTAAATATCGAATAAATGTAGCATATTCAAAAATTGGGTTCGTTATAGGAGGAGGTAATGATATTTTATTTTGAACAAGAATACATTTTGACGCAAAAGGTAAAGTTGCAATGTATTTTGAGATTAACAAACGTCGTCGTCTTATGGGATCATTGGCATCGATTATAGAATCATGCCATGGATTTCTCCACAAGATAGGTAAAGCATTCTTGCACCAAGTTCGATTGACTAAAGCGCATGAAAAGAGAGATATAGGAGAATCTTGAAGAAACTCTAAGATTATGACAAGACAATCGATGTCGATTCTTGTGACCATAATTTGATATAGCCTTAGAACAAGAGCAAAGCGAGTGGCTTTTTTCGAATTGCTCTTCCTGGTCAACGTTATTAATATTTTGATGGGCAAATAATGGATGGCAAAAAATGATTGGGGATTAGAAATTTGTGTATTATTACGTACGTGCGTCGTACAAGCAATGTGTTACCACCAGTCCTACATTCACGTAACATTTCGAGAAACCAATTCTCATGAAACTAGTACAATATCAGGTAAATACCTGAAAATTATTATTATCATCCTTACGTGTATGTTTTAATAGATAACATTTTTGGTACCTTTATTTATGTGAATACCGATACTTTAATCTTTAATTTTCATAAATTGAAAGTTTTGCGCATTTTCAATTCTACTACTACTAATCTACGATAGCGGTTTGTGTTTTTAATCAATAACTATAAATGTAACCGTTATAATGTAAATATTATTTGAAAAAAGTTGAATTGAGAAGAATGGCGTATTATAATCAAAAAACTTTTTTGGTTTGTTATATTGTTTTGTTAAAATTTTTTTTTTCATTTTGACTTATCAATATTGATAATATTGGAATTACACAATACTGATAAAGACTAGCGTTAGTAGTTTTAAGAAGCCAATTAAAAAATTTTCTATTCTATTCTTTATTTGGTTAGCGAAGTGCCATTTATCTCCTTGGTTTCTGTAGATAATGATTGAGTCAAAATTGTCGTGTCACGAATGATAACGTAAACACACCTGCGAAATATCTCAGGACAAAAAAAAATCAGAATAAATAGCTTCCTTGTTATATAAATTTTTTAAAAACCTGATTATGATCTTAAGAGATTAAAAAACGTGTAATTTTATAAACAAACAAATAAAAAAATTTTTAATATCGATATTCAAAAAAATGTCTTCTCTATATGAATATATTGTACTTTAACTGATACAAATACAGAAATAATAAATAAAATTTGCCATCTATAATGACGATCGTGTGAATAAAACAATAGATAATCGGTTTTCCATCAGAAATCTCTATGTATGGATAGTGTATTTAACAATATAAATTATTAATTTTTTGATCAAAAATAAGATTCCTTATTTTGGTCTGATATGTTTGCCAATGACCAAAATTGTCTATAGTGTTAGTAAAAAAAAAAAAAAACCATTAATACATTATATGAGTTAAAACCAGTAAGTAAAATATTTAAGTTTTCATTGTATCGAATTAACTCCCTGGAAATAGTAATATTAGAGCGAAGAAAAGAATATAATTAAGAACTTGTCAATATTAGCAGAACAAAAAAATAAAATGAAGTTTTGTATCTTTTTGTGATACAAAGAAGTTTCGCTAAGATAATATAGAACTTGTGATACAAAAAGGTTAACAAGTAGAAGAGAAAGAAAGGAATAATAGTTAAGTAAAAAAGAAGTAAGCCAAAAGAAGGTAGCCTGAAAGTGAAAATCCTAACAGAGAATGAAAGAAAAGAAATACTAGCGGAAAGGAAAAAAAAAAAAAAAAAGAGATTGAATAGTTGCAATAGTAGATAAAATAGTTAAAAAAGTAATATTAAAAAGAGAAATAGATTGATAAAATTTGTTTTGAATTAGTTAAATAAAATTGTCTTAGTTCTTGATTTTTGTTAAATATGTTTATTATATAAAAATAATATAATTAAAATATAATTACAATATAATATAATATTTTCAAACTGTTAAATTAATAATATCTAAGTTGTTAATATATTTTTAATATATTAATATGTTAAAAATTTTTTAAAAAATTTTTAAAATTAATCATAAATATTTAGATATTAAAGCTATTAATAAAATTTAAAATAGACAAATTATATATAAAATTAGACAAAAATATTTTTAATTAATAAATTAAATATAGTTTTATAATAAAAATTTATAGTTATAATTAATTTTTTAAAAAATTATAATTTTTTAATTTTTTTTTTTTTTTTTTTTTTTTTTTTTTTTTTTAGTAATTATATTACAACTTTGTAATTTATTAAGAAAATTAAAGAATTAATACATAAAAAATATGACTAACTCAGTTATTATTTAAGATATCTATATTTAACCTACTATAACAAATTTTGCCTTCTTTCTGAGATCTTCTTTTTTGCACAAAAAAATCTTTAAAAATCACTAACTAGAATTTGTAGCCTATTATGATTAACTTAGTATATTAATCAAGATTTTAAATATTATAAAATAGAAAAGAAAAGTAGTTTTCAAAAGAAAATAGAAGCAATAAAAAAGAAAAATCAAATAAGCAAAGCTATTATAGGAATAATAATAGATCTTTAGAATATATAACTCAACTAGTATAAAACTTAAAAGAAAAGCTTAAAGATTTGAGTATAAAATATCTAAATTACTTTTAATTTCTGTACTAGTTAAATTAAAAGAAGTCTTATATATACAAAAAGGAAAACTTGTATAGCAGAATAAAGTAGAGCAAAAGATAAACTATACAGAGAAGAGTACTAGAATGAATAGTAAAAATATAAGAGTAATAGAGATTAAAAAAAGTATTAAAATAGTAGCTTATAATATAAACAGGTAAAAGATAATAGATACAAGCTAGAAATACTAACTTAAAAAGAAAGATTATAATATAGTAGAAGTAATAAAGACAAATATTTCAGAAAAAAAAAGCTAATATATAACTAAATCCTAAGAAAATATAGATAGTTTTTAGACTAATATAGATAAAAGTAAAAGTAAAAGTTCAGAAGTAAGTATAATAGTAAATAAAAAGTGGTCAAATATCTAAGACAAATTAAAAAATATAGTAGCTATTTGCTAAAAGTATATATTTTTTTTAGACAATTAGAACTAGTAGTTTTTATAGTATATATAGTATCAAAAGGACTTTAAGCTATACAAAGATAGGTGACAATTTAATTTTTCTTATTTTTGACTATTTTTTTGCAGATCTTTACTATTTTTAATAATATATATGCTTATTTTTGACTATTTTTATGCAGATCTTTTACTTTTTTAATAATTTGTTAAGATTTTTTAAAAATCTTAGCTATATATAGATTGCTCAGAGTCCTGTATCAAATAGTCAACTAAGAAAAAAAGAAGTGAAACAATTCTTTCTAATAATCTTTTTTTTCAAAAATTCAGAAAAGCAAAAAAACAAAAATTTATTATAAAAAGATAAAGAAGTTTCTTTTACAATACAATAGTTTTTACAGAAGTCAACTACTTACTCTTAGGGACTCCTTTGTATATTTAAAATATAAGCTAAAAGCGATATTATATAAGATAACTAGCAGAAGAAGAGAGCCTTTGTATAAAAAATTTTAGTAAAGATACGCAAAGTCACTCTTAGTTAATGAAGTTAGTAGAAAAAGACTTAAGAAGAAGAATAATAAATTATTTTGTCTACACACTCTTTTGTACTTTATAAAACATTAATATATCACAAATTTTTTCCTTCTAATCTTCTTTTTTTAACAAAAGTAAAGAATCTAGGTCCCTCCTTACAAAAGATTAGCATTGTTTACTCCTTCTATTTTTGAAATTACTCTGTAGATATACAACCTTGTGCAGTAAACATAGTCATATATTTTATTTATTTACAAAGTCACATACTTTGTATAATAACAATCTATATGTTTTGTTTATTGTTTAGTCTAGAATATGACCTTAGTACTACAGGTTCTAAACTCTAAAAATAGATTGTATATTGAATAGAGAATTACTCAAGATAGGTTTCAAGTTGCATAACTTAAAATTTTTAAGCCTAACTTAGGTTACAGAGTATCTGATTACCTTTTTTTAGTTCATTTTATACTCTGTCTCTTTTATTATATTACTGCCTAACAAAGTTTTTATGACTTGAAGCAAGTTTTTCTTTGCTAGTAAGCTTAGTACTTTTAGATTAGTAACAATTTTTATTTTTTCTATCTTGAGACTAGGTGTTAACTACTTGTAGC